TATCTAGGACTAAAATATATGTTATTTATATTCGGTAAAAAGTTCTTAATAACTTATGTTTGTACTGTTATATGTGAACCGAATAAAATAAAACTTTCGTATTTGTATTCGTATTTGTATTGGATGGAGAGTTGTCTCATTGGCACTCATACCACATCTTCCTATATCTATCGTATAGTGTGTCAAAGGCCCGCTGTCACTATCAAAGTTTTCTTGGCCAAAGTTTTGGGTGGATTTTTTTATAGTGATAACCGTCAAAGAAAACTTTGATAAAAAAATTGACGGACTTGGATTGATTAGAGTCTCATCCTATTTTTCTTTAAACTTAGATGAAAACTTTGACCAGGTTAACTTTTGAAGTGTTTTATGGACAGGAAGATCATGATACAACCATTGTCTACATTTTATTTTCGTTTATTGTTTACTGATGGACATCTACCTACAGTACTTGAATATCGATCTTATTCTGGAGAGTAGATTTTGTTCCTGCACAGTACTTAAATGTCGATCTTATTCTAGATAGTAGATTTTGTTCCTGTACAGTACTTGGATGTCGATCTTATTCTAGATAGTAGATTTTGTTCCTGTACAATACTTTAATGTCGATCTTATTCTAGATAGTAGATTTTGTTCCTGTACAATACTTTAATGTCGATCTTATTCTATATAGTAGATTTTGTTCCTGTACAGTACTTGAATGTCGATCTTATTCTGGATAGTAGATTGTGTTACTGTACAGTACTTGGATGTCGATCTTATTCTGGATTGTAGATTTTGAATTCTTCTGCGTAGTCTGTAAAAAGTGTTATTGTAATTACAGAATGATAATTATCTAAATTATCTGATTAATTATTGTATCGCTCTCAGTGCAATTAACTGAAATGATGACCCTATTACTATAACATCTTTTAACGCAATGAACATTTGGCAGAACAGAACTGATGTTGTAGACGAACTGTGACCCCGAGCTTTTAGGTTAGGGAAGCAAGCTATTAAATCTGTACGTCAAATAATTAGTGACGGATACTCTGGAGACAAGTTCCTTAACTAGTATCACATATATCGTAAATTTTAATGACCTATTATTGGATTCTAGAGTTGAGGATAACGTAAATATATCAGCTGCATAAACAATATCAATGTTGTGAAGGGTCCTTCCTCCATTAAGTATGGTCCTTATATTACACTGCTGAAAGCAATATAAGAATTTAAATGAAATTCAGCATTCTTATGGTTTTGCAGCATTGTACAAAGAATGGCCTCTTGAAATGAGCAAATCATTAACTATTACAACCAAGGAGACGCAGACTTGTCGAGTTCATATATCTTAACCCAAATAGTAACCTACAAATTATAGAAATAGTGCAAAACAATATCATAGTGAAACACTTTCGTCTTTTAAATAAAAGACGTCAAAACAAATCAATATATGAAGTAAACAAGGACATTCAGACTTATCATCGTCTTACTAGATATAATAATCAGTGGAGAGTCGAATGGTAATAATATATTTCATGCAGATTTGCACTTTACAATACGGCATATTGAAATTTAAAAGAAATTAAATGAATTTGAAGTGCTTAGATTTAAATTAAAACAGCCACAATAAAATTCATATAGTGCACTGAAGTAAAGAATTTAATTATCAAAATAAAAATCTCAGTAGACTTCCGCTAGAAAGTGTGTTATATTTTTTTAACTTGTTTGATTTGAAGGTTCACGGCAAACAAAGGAAAGTAGACCGAATGTTTGTATTCATCAGATGATATTTTGATAAAATTAAAAACAAAAACTTTGACCGTATTCTACTGCGGCTGCAACGTCCCGAGTACTCTAGTATATCGTATCATAGATTAAGACAATAACGGGTAACACATACTCTCCAATCAGAAATAATAGGAGACTATAACAGATAAATACACTGTCCAATCAGAAATAACACGACAATAACGTATATATACAATGTACAATCAGAAATAACAAGTCTTTAACGGGTAAATACACTGTCCAGTCAGAAATAACAAGTCTTTAACGGGTAAATACACTGTCCAGTCAGAAATAACATGACAATACCGGGTAAATACATTGTCCAATCAGACAATAAAAAATGAGAACATCACTTTACAAATTGCATGCTACCGAAACGCTTTTCTGGATTTACCTTCATAAGGAACGTTCAAAGCCGAATATTTGAAAGGACGTACAAGAACAAAAATAAAATTTGAATAAAAAAGACATAAAATAATCGTCAAATCCATCAAGGTCAACTTTGCCTGAGGGAGTTGAAACCTCAGTTAGAAGTGATAACGGTTTAATTCATTGCCCAATTAGTAATAAAAAGACTGTCATGGGTAAAAAGTAAAATCACAAAAATACTGAACGCCGAGGAAAATTCAATCGGAAAGTCCCTAATCACATGGCAAAATCAAATGACAAAACACATCAAACGAATGGACAACAACTGTCATATTCCTGACTTGGTACAGGCATTTTCAAATGTAGAAAATGGTGGATTGAACCTGGTTTTATAGCGCTAAACCTCTCACTTGTACGACAGTCTTATCAAATTCCGTTATATTTACAACGATGCGTGAACAAAACAGACATTATAAATAAAATAGTCAAAATATGGGTACAGCAGTCATCACTGTGTTACAATGAATGTTAAAATACACTGTCTAGTAAAAAACCAAGACAATCATGTGTTAAATACACTGACTAGTCAAAAATAACAAGACTCTCAGGGGTTAATACATTGTCAATTCAGAAATAATAAAACAAGTATGGGTAAAATACACTGTCTCGTCAGAAATAACAAGACAACCATGGTAAAATACACTTAGCAGTCAGATATAACAAGACAATCACTGTTCAAACATAGTATCTAGTCACGTGTAAATACACAGCCCAGTCAGATATAACAAGACTATAACGGATAAAACACACTGTCCAGTCAGATATAACAAGACTATAACGGACAAAACATACTGTCCAGTCAGATATAACAAGACTATAACGGACAAATCACACTGTCCAGTCAGATATAACAAGACTATAACGGACAAAACACACTGTCCAGTCAGATATAACAAGACTATAACGGGCAAAACACACTGTCCAGTCAGATATAACAAGTCTTGTTATATCTGACTGGACAGTGTGTTTTGTTCATTATAGTCTTGTTATATCTGACTGGACAGTGTGTTTTGTCCGTTATAGTCTTGTTATATCTGTTATATCTGACTAGACAGTGTGTTTTGTCCGTTATAGTCTTGTTTTATCTGACTGGACAGTATGTTTTGTCCGTTATAGTCTTGTTATATCTGACTGGACAGTGTGTTTTGTCCGTTATAGTCTTGTTATATCTGACTGGACAGTATGTTTTGTCCGTTATAGTCTTGTTATATCTGACTGGACAGTGTGTTTTGTCCGTTATAGTCTTGTTATATCTGTTATATAAGAAGACTATAACGGACAAAACACACTGTCCAGTCAGATATAAGAAGACTATCACGGACAAAACACACTGTCCAGTCAGATACAACAAGACTATCACGGACAAAACATACTGTCCAGTCAGATATAACAAGACTATCACGGACAAAACATACTGTCCAGTCAGATATAACAAGACTATCACGGACAAAACACACTGTCCAGTCAGATATAACAAGACTATAACGGACAAAACACACTGTCCAGTCAGATATAACAAGACTATAACGGACAAAACACACTGTCCAGTCAGATATAACAGATATAACAAGACTATAACGGACAAAACACACTGTCCAGTCAGATATAACAAGACTATAACGGACAAAACACACTGTCCAGTCAGATATAACAAGACTATAACGGACAAAACACACTGTCCAGTCAGATATAACAAAACATTCATGGTAATGCGTATCATACAGTGTCCAGTCAAAACTATAAAGGTAAACACGGGTAAAATATTCTGTCCGATCAAAATATCAAGACAGTCATAATTACATACATTGTCCAGTCAGATATAACAAGACAGCTACGGTAACGGACACAGGCCAGTCAGAAATAACAAAATAGTTTCGGGTGACATTCACTGTCTAGTCAGATATAACAAGACAGTCACGGTTAAATACACTGTTTAGTCAGAAATAACAAGACAGTCACGGGTTAAATACACTGTCCAATCGGTGGAAAGCCAAGTTAATCAAGGTTAAACACACTGTCCAGTCAATATATCACGGTAAACACGGGTTACATACATTGTCTATTCAGAAATGAAAAGTCAATCACGGGAAACATACACTATCCGGTCAGAAATTACAAGACAGTTACGGGTTAAATACACTGTCCGGTCAGAAATTACAAAATAGTTACGGGTTAAATACACTGTCCGGTCAGAAATTACAAAACTGTTACGGGTTAAATACACTGTCTGGTCAGAAATTACAAGACAGTTACGAATTAAATACACTGTCTAGTCAGAAATTACAAAACAGTTACGGGTTAAATACACTGTCCGGTCAGAAATTACAAAACAAGACGATCACGATAAAATACACTGTCTAGTCAGAAATAAAAAGGCAATCAGGGGTAACATTCACTGTTCAGCCATGAATAACAAGACTTCACGAGTAAAATACACTGTCTAGTCAGAAAAAAACCCTGATAAACACAAGTGACATACACTTTCCAGCTAGAAACAACAATCTACAATTATAACTCGATGGCCGAGTGGTCTAAGTAGTCGAACTATTGTACCACTAGCCTGTCAACACCGGGGTTGTGACTTTGAATCTCGCACGTGGCAGGTGCGCTCGAATCCAATTTCAATTGACTAGGATCGTCAGTTTTCCTATCGAAGGTCGGTGGTTCTGTGCACTCCAGCTTCCTCCACCAATAAAAATTGACCGCTACGAAATAGCACAATAGTGCTGAAAGGGGCGTTAAACACCAACCAATCAATCAAAAACAATTATAAATTTAAAAATGTGTCTCCTGTTTATTTGCAGGCCCCAATCCCTCCACATGGCTGGGGCAGTGAAATACTCAGTACAGAAAACTTTGGTCCAGCCTGTCCGCAGGGTGCTGGAGGTATGGAATATATCAAACTGCATCACCCTGGCTTTGATTTATCAAGTGAAGATTGTCTCTACCTCAATATATATGTGCCTAAGGTAAGTTTTTCTATCAGAAGTAATGTTTCTGTTTTCTCGGAAAAGACAATACCAATGACACCTAATGGTCGAACAACACAATTAGAATAACTTAACAAACATCCCTAAGTTTTTACGGTAAATACTTTACTTCTGTGACGATGGACTGAAACAAACACTATTAATTGTTATTAGCTTTGAACTAGCTTTCAGTAACTCTCATATCTGTACTTTGTGTCTTTAGGGTTTTTGCTATAGTTGTTTGTGTGCTTTATATCGATCGGTTGAGTTAATATAAAAATAAGGAGATAAGGTATAATTGATTAAGCCCTTTTCAACTGATTGATATTTTGTTCTTAGTATGTTGTGCTGTTACACCACTGTCCGAGGTAAGGAGAGGGTTGGACCTGCCACAAGTCGGGAACCTATTATTCAGTCGTTGCCGTTTGTTGTTGTATATCATATTTGTTTTTCGTTTATTGTTTGGTACCTAAATCAGGCCGTTAGTTTTCTCGCTTCAATAGTTTTACATTTGTCATTTTGAGGTCTTTTTGCTTGCTATGCTGTATGGTTTTTGCTCAATGTTGAAGGTCGTACGGTGACCTTTAGATGCTAAATTCTATGTCATTTTGGTCTCTGGTGAACAGTTTATTTTCTCATTGTCAATTTTACCGCAACTTCTTATCTTTATGAATACAGATTGGTCAAGAAAATATTACTCGTTTGCTTGAAAACATAGGATATGACTGCTTTAAATCGACCAGCATTCGACACGTCTATAGGTACAGTTCTGACATGTTATCACATATTATTGGTTAAGTAATGATAATGCAAATATTTTACTTTCTTAGATAATTTTTTCGGTACTATTTTCATTATTTCAATTCTCAGTTTTCACACAGATTAACATGACTGGTAATTAATAAAGTCTTACTTTGATCACAATTACAGTATAAATAGCTGTCGTTTTGAATCTGTAAGAAAGATTTAGAGAATGGCAAAAAAAGTGTCTAAAAAATCCTGCAACAGTCGTTTATTAACGGAAATTTGTTTATTTTTCTTGCCATAAATTCCTTCCAAATAACTCCAAGTATCAACAGTTTCTTTGAATAAAAGAGAATATACCAAAAGTCGGTCAATCATCAATCGAAAAAAAAACCCAGACAATTCCATGCATAAAGAAAGAAGACGGAACACAGTTGTAAAAATACTATATAGAAAATAAAGGATTGAGCAAAACTAACCCTTCCAGAAATAATTATTGATCTCAATCTTAAGAATATGAGTGCCACCCATAAAGAAGGAAATGCTTACCATTCGGTCGTTATGCAGTTCTTTCCCCACCTTGTTGCGCATGTTTTTACTATTGAAAATATATAAAATTATGGTTACACCCTTGACACTAAGCTTTAAAGGAACTGATGCGAGATGTGCACGAACATGACAATTCCATTTCAAATTAAAGTCAATAGTTCACTGATGTGAAGTCCCGAATAAAGACTGTTTTATCTCATTCCTGACCAAATGTCTTTTACTGTTATGGTATTGGTACAGTATTGATGTGTCTAAGTGAATAAACAAAAAATCTTCAAGATACCAGACTGACAATTCGTGTTCATAAGTCTCTTGGAATCAAGGCAGCATGCAGGCCAAATCAAGCAGAGCCCTGAAAACAAAATTTTAAAAACCGTATAATGCCAAATATTGCCAAAAAACGTAGTTGTGTAATTTATTATTGTGCATTTGTCTTAATGTGTTTGTTCCTGTTTTGATGTGTCTACAAAAGGTCCTGTAATTAATGTATTGTGTGTTTAAGACTTTGGTCGATTATTTTATAATTTAGAGACTTCGACTGAGTCGAATTTTTTAGAACTCTTTATTCAATTCCAGTTGCGTTTTGGGTGGAATTTGCAAAATACTGTAGTGTTTTAATCTCATATACGCATGCTTCTGGAAATGTATGTATACCAATGATCTCTACTAGCAATAATAAAAATTAAAATGAAGAGATGTGGTAAAATTGCCAACGAGACAACCATCCACTAGAGCTCAAATGAAGTCGGTTTTACTCGTACAAATATATCAGATTTGAATATTACGATTTGACTTCGTCCCTTTTTAATTTCATTTTTTTTAGGAAAAAAAAACCCACACAAATCCGCACATGTTGCTGGCGCTATCATATTTATTCTACGATGCTTAGAGAGTGTTCGTGTAACATGTAAATACTTTATAGTACTATTGAAGCTGTGGACTAGTCTAAGCTAAACTATTGATTCTATAATGCTTAGATATTGTACATATAACACTGTTAATCCGTTACAGTACTATTGAAGCTGTGGACTAGTCTAAGAAATCTATTAATTCTATAGTGCTTAGAGATTGTACATATAACATGTTAATACTTTATAGTACTATTGAAGCTGTGAACTAATAAATTTATTCATAGTTACTAGTCTGAGAAAAACTATAACGTCACAAATACAAGGTGTTGTTTATCCTTTAAATGATAAAGTTCGAGGTGATGAAAGAGAAATTTTTAATATTAACACTTTCATTGTGACTCGGACTAACGACAAGAGCAATAAAACGAATCCCCTCTAATATGACCATGAAAAAATAATTACATTATTGATTAGAATTTGGTTTCTAGTTTTAATTACCACAATATCTGGTACTTAACACAAAAATCTTTAGTTTAATGTGAGAGAAATTCAATGCCTTTATTACGATCTATAGTTTACCATATCGTTCAATTATCAATCGACGCATTTTTTTCTTTTTCTTTTATTTCCATTTTATATATTTTAAAATGGCTGTAATGAATGTTTACATTTAATTTCTTACTTTTATTACGATTGCAAAAACAATGTTAAGACCAGTGAAAGTTCGATAAAGTCGTCAGAAATTCTGTTTCTTAAAGTGTATATGTCATAATTCCTACAACTTGTTTTCTTTTCAAATGAAAACACTATGAAAACAGCGATTGTCGAATGGACAATTTTAGTCTAACTTGACCAATTTGGTTTCAACATCTTTCAGTTTCTCTAAACTCTTAAATAAATTTGATAAGTTGGAAGAAATTATACACGGTAAGCCGGGTTTCCCAATAAAACTATCCCCCTTTATATATATCTTATCATAGTTTTTGACATTGATGGATGGAAACAATCAATATTTTGAACAATATTTACATCTGTAAGTCTCATTGTAATTTTTACTATCACATATATCTGAATTACATTTACAACTACTATAGCAATGAACAGAGAGAGTTTGTTTGTTTACATTTAGCTGTTATGTATATTGTTTATTTCTATGATAATCTTGGCTGTATGCATCATTACAAAAAACACGGATAAAACGTGTTCGTTTATGTTTGTAATTGTTTTATCAAACTTTTACTGAATATAAAATAAATATTTATCTTAATTTCGATTTTATACCTTCAGCTATTATAAACTTTGTTTTCCAGTATTGCAGGTTTTAAATATTCAATTGTCATTTGTTCTTTTTCTTTTACCTTTTTATAGAGTTGTTCCACATTAGCTTAAATTGTAAATGCGCGCTACGCTCTATTCTTTTATTTCGGAAATAAAGCAACGCTCACTTGGTCAACAGATACGTGGGCATGTACCGCGATTTGTTTTGTGTTTTAGAATTTTCCTTTAGGATTTTCTGTAATATTTCAACTTATTTCTTTTTATTTCATCCGTTCTTACTTTTATCAATACAAAATTGCAATAACTAAAGTTTAATCTTGCTGTCCCAAACGAATGGACGATGATTTCGGCGAGGACTCTGATTTCTTCCGGAATAAAACAGATCAATATTGCATTGTTCATATCTAGAAAGAATTACTTTAAAGTAAACCATATAAACAAAGCTAATAGTTTATATCATTCACAATTAAGTGTTTGTAGCACGCAGTTTATTCCGCGTATTTGAATGATATTATTAGTAATACAAATATGAGTCCACCACTACGGTTTTTGCTGAAATATTTTACAAACGTACATGCATATTATCAAGCTTATGCTGGTTTTAATCGGAAAGTCAAAAAGACTCGACTATGGGGATGAATTGAAATTGCCAATTATACCGTATTAACCAACTAGATATGTTTAATCCCGCAAAATTGTATATGTGCCTGTTCCAAGTCAGGAGCCTGTAATATAATGGTATTCATCTGTTGCTCTATATCATGTTTTTTTTCTTTTGTTGTTTTGCCGTCTTTGAATTGTTTTTTTCATTTTGTCTTGTCGGGGCCTTTTATAGCTTACTCTGCTTTTATGGTTTTTTTCTCATTGTTAAAGGACGTAGGATGACTATTATAATAGTTGCTAACATCTACGTCATTTGGTCTGTGGTGGGTAGCTGTCTCATTGACAATCATACCACAGCTCCTTATTTTATAAAGAATTGTGGAACACGAACCAAAAACAGAAACAAAACGTTTTTTTTCCCTATATAGATATGTTTTCCGTAACAAAATGTGGACTTTGTCATATCCATGAAAAGGGCATTAAATTCTTGTCATATCCATGAAAAGGGCATTAAATTCTTGTATCCGCAAATCCTCCTTAAACAACAAAAGTTGTTAATTGAAACCTTGATAAACCCTGGCGTTGTTCATCTCCGTTTTTATTAAATTAATTACTTTTTAAATGATTTAGTACTTTTATACAGTAAAACATAGACTTTCCAATATTCATACAAGTAGCAGTTTACATTTCTTAGATAGAAGGGTGTTTCAATACAAAAACAAACAAGAAGATATGGTATAATTGCCAATGAAACGACTCTGCAAGAGACCAAATGACGTAGAAGGTTAGCAACTATAGGTCAGCGTACGCCTACAATAATGAGCAAAAACCCATTTCGCATAGTCATCTATAAAAGGCCAAGAAATTACAAATGTAAAACAATTCAAACGAGAAAACAAACGGCCTGATATATTTAAAAAAAACGTAAACGAAAAAAAAATATGATAAACAGCAACAAACGACAACCACTGAAATACAGGCTCCAGACTTTGAACAGACACATACAGAATGTGGCGGGGTTAAGCATGTTTGCGGACGCTTCAACTATAAAAATCAATTGAAAAGGGGTTAACTCATAAGATTGATACAAAGCACAAAATCAACTAACCAAAAACATTAAAACACAAAGTACAGATCTGAGTATATTGCAGTACTTTGACTTGTATATCACTGTGTAAAACACAAAGTACAGATCTGAGTATATTACTGTACTTTGTCCTGTATATCACCGTGTAAAGCAGAGTACTGTGTTATAACGAGAGGGTTTAAAGCTTTTTCTCGTCAATTTGAGGCGATCGTACGATGCCGAACCCAGCATTCATTCGTGTCACCTTTCTTCCTGTCAACATCAAAATTAGTGCTAAGCAATTGAAGACTTGCTCTCTTTTGATTATTAGGTCGGGAAGTCGTTTACTATTTACCCCATGCCGACAATGCAATAAAAGACAAAACTGACAATTTAATACGGGATCTGCGGTTGATTAGAACTAGTTCTTATAAAAGTGAAATCAGTAGACTAGACATAGTCATTTCATAGTAAAACCCAGACAATTAGAAGAAATCGTAAACCACAAATTAATTCAATAAGAAAATCAACGTTAACCAGAATCAATTGTTCTTGCATTTTGTTTTTATTGCATCAAGGATCTAATTGTACAAATTAACGTTGGAGACGAGATCGGTGCACGATCAACTGTTTTTATGATGATTTGATGACGAAAGAATTAACGTCTTGGGAGTCAATCAGCATACCTGTTTGTTTGCACATGCAGAGAAACATTGAACATTGTCAAAACAATGAAATATAATCAAAGGCCTATCCAGTATTGTTTTGGTGATTAATTCGACACGTGCTAACAGTAAAAGATCACAGGAGAACAGATGAATAATATGATCTTCTGACATTTGTTTTACTGATAAGACACCGTCTTGAACATTAAAAAACTTTATATTAGTAAAGATTCAATGATATGTTCTTTTTCATGTCTTATCATAATAGAAGAAATGCATATCTAAGATGAACTTTCTACTGGAACTAACGGTCATACAGAATATAACGGGCGTTTCGTGAATTACCAAACAAGGTGTATACGTTACATCTTTTACTGAGTTCTGAATTTTCTAAATTGTTTTTCTACGACAAATGATTGTAATGATGTTTGTTTTCCTATTGTCAACTTTTGATTTTTGTATAGCATTATGTACTTGGTCTAAACTTACGGTAATAAGGTATTTTGTCTTGTCATATTATATTTCGAATGATGATAAAACACATCTAACGCAAAATCTTTTACAACATTTACAAACAACACTTTTTCCACTATATTAATTACATTGTGCCATTTTAGTTTGAACTATTTAGTGATCTGTCATCTAAAACCAATATCATTGATACTGTAGTTTAGTAAGTGCACAGTGAGTAAGGAATAAAGAATTATAATGTTATATACTCGAACAGTTTCGGTATGGGTTTCCTGACTGGTGTTCTTGTTTCTTGGAATCTACTGTTTTCCATGATTCAGTTATTTTATGAATATATCACCGCCATTTAAAAGAAGATCCAAACGTTTTCTGCAGACCTATTGAAATAATTTCTTTTAATATTTTCTAGGATTGATATCAATTTGCTTACTTATAGTTTGAAATAAAACTCAAATGTTTCTGGTTCTTGGGCTTTACATAAGATCGTGAATATCTTCGATTGTCCTGACGTCGCGGTTTCCATTGATATCAATTTTACCATTAGTAGGTCGAATACTCAGCCTTCCTCCTTTAAATCTTGATCAGTGGAATAACAATAACACAGCAGTATGAGGAGTAAAGTGCTCTTTCTGGTCTGAATTTTATTGTATGCTCTTCTATTGGCTTTTGATATTTTATTGATCAAGGCTATAAAGTAGAGGTTAGAGTGATTAAAAACATCACTACAGACCCACAATAATATATAAACCTTATTGCATATTTTTGACTAAGTCTTTAAGAATCAACCCTATTTTCAATCCATGCTGATCTTTCGAGCTATAGAAGTGGTGATCACACCACATCTCCTTATTTTTGTATTATTCTTATTTTGTCATAAGCTTTGTCATAAGCTTTTAATGCCCTAAAAAGCAGGCCCATTTTTGTTGAAAAAATGGAAAGATTCTCAGCACATCTGTATTTTTTTCAATTATTTATATAATATATGCATCACTCTTTATGCTATTCACTAATATGTCGGCAATCACATGACCGAAACGGTATTTGATGATGTTCGTATTGTACTATGACATATAAATCCTCTATTAATATAAAAGTTCGATCCTGATTTCAGTCCGTCGAACACATGTTTCTAGAATAATCTTTGAAACATAAAGCGAAATAAAAGAAGAATGTGTCTGAGGACACGAGTGCCCCCGCTTAGGCTTTGGATTTTTCAAAGTTAAAAAGGGGTATAACTCTAGAACGGTAAATGCCTCACTGCCCAAATTCGAACTCTGTCTCCGTGTTGTGGTTATTAGCTTTGTGAATGAGTGTCATAGTATTTGGATGATCGAGGAAAACTTAAGTATGAGCGCGGAAACGAAAACATTTGCAACTTTTCAAGTTAGAAAGGGGCATAACTATAGAACGGTAAATGACTCACTGCCCAAGTTCGAACTCTGTGTGTTTTGGTTCTAAGGACTGTGTATGAGTTTCATAAAATTTGGAGGAGGAAAACTTAAGTAAGGTAAAACGAAAAAATTTGGCAAATTCCATGTTATAAAGGGCATAACTTAAGAATAGTAAGCGACTCACCGCTCACCGCTCAAATTCTATCTTTGTCTGCGAGTTTTATTTCTTAGCATTGTGTATGAGTTTCATAAAATTTGGATGAGGAAAACTTGAGTGAGAGTGCGGAAACGAAAATTGGATGGAAGGACGGAAAGACTGAAGGACGGACGATCAAGGGTAACACTTAATGCCCCAATTGCCTATGGCGGGGTCATGAATATAAAAAATGTTTGTAACGATTAAAACTAAAAATGGCATAAACAGATCCGCCAAAACAGTCTAAGGTAAACTTACTTTTTCATTATTATTACATGATTTATCAAATGAAAGTTATCATCAGTTCGGTACTGACATGATTTATAACATACTTTTCTTAAATTTTCCGTTGATAAACTTTAATATTATTAAGTACTTCAGACAAAGTTGATATAAGATGGATGTGGCTATTATGTTACTAAGGTAATATAGCTCTGCACGTATTCAAGTTCTTGTACACCCTTTGGTTTCAAATATTTGGGTTCGAGCGTTTCCGGTGGACGTAAATCGGACGCACCAATTTATAAAGCGTTATTTTCATTTATAGTCAAAATTTCATTCAATTAAGTAATTACTGAATTAGTGGTTTATGAACAATGGTTCCATCGCGTAAAAGAAATCCACCAGCAGCGTACATATGCTTGAACGGAAAATTAAAGGTTATCTTATAAAAAGTCATGTATACATTCTGCTTTATATTATTAAACAAACAATTAGGATGTCTCAAACATATATGATTTCCTTTGTTACCAATTAAATCATTGTAAATATTCTATAAATTCCGGTGTCAACACCGATGTTCTGACTTCACAACATGTAAATCACCGAGTTAGTTAAAAATATGTTTACTTTGCAGATTGTTAATCATAATTCCCGAATGCCAGTATTAGTATTTATACATGGCGGATCTTACTTTAATGGTATGGGTGGTATGTTTGAAGGATCATTTTTAGCTACTGAGGGTATTGTTGTTGTTACTGTTAATTACAGACTAGGAGCTTTAGGTAAGTACATAGAGGTCAAACAAATATAAGAATATCTTAAGGTGTACTCCAATGAGACAGCAATCTAAATTATACAAAAAAATCTAGTCTTAGGAGATTAATATACGGTCTTAAACCACAAATCAGAGATCTGCCATCATCAAATTCCCTACAATGACAAAACACTCTATTGTATATCTCTTATATCTAACGCACACAAATGGCAAAAACGGAACTACATAGGACCATGCCATACACATCAAGTACTTGGATAAGTTCTACTGTGGAAACATTCACCATTTAATTGAAGACCGAAACGGGACAACAATTACATTTATAGTTTTGATATTGGGAACATTTAGTTGATTTAAACAAAAGAAGAAACAGAAAAAAAAATGTCAAACTATACATATAGCAATGTCCCATAACGGACGAATATATAGTTTTTTCGCTGCGCCTCTTTCGTATACATTCCAATCAAATATGTTGTTTTTTTTTACAAAAGAAGACTTTTTTTACAAGAGAAGAAGCATTACATTTCTAAGCAAACATTAAAAAGATGAATAACAAATTTTCCTATTATTTTCAAATCTTTTCAAAATATAAATTTTCTAACTATATTTACATGTTAACGATGTTAAGCTTGTTTTTTTTTTGGTATTGTACATTCATACCATGGAATACAATCATTTTATTCGAAATACATTGATCTGGCAAATTTTTGAATGAGTATACTTTTCCTTAAACCTGTACCTGCAATCAAAGCAAGTAACATTTGACAAGAGCTCGCGAAGAAAAAAAAGTTATTGGACGTATAGTAGTAATAAGAGAACTGACCTATAGTTGTTAACTTCTATGTCATTTAGTGTTTGGTAAAGAATTTTCTCATTGGCAATTATACCACATCTTCTTATTTTTATATTTACCTAGGCGTAATTAATAACTTTCTTTGTAGCATATTCATTATATGATTTAAAATCCCTGACAAAAAACTTTCAGGATTTCTATCTACGGGAGACTCAAACATTCCTGGAAATTATGGCATGTTAGATCAAGTTGCAGCTTTAAAGTGGGTTAAACAGAACATTGGTCATTTCGATGGCGACCCTGATAGAATAACCATTGACGGTCATAGTGCAGGAGGGTGCAGTGTTGGACTTTTAATGATATCCCCTTTAACGAAAGGTATCGTAAAATTAAAAAAAATCTATGCCTCTGTGTGCCACCGATTTAGTGTCTCGAACTGGTATCTACCTATAGTAATGAGGTTATCCATAATTTCTCTACAGTAAACCTTTATTTTTGGATAACATGACATTCAGAAGTTTCTTACCATTTCAATACATCAGATATCACTCCATCTTATTGTGTATATCGATTGTTCTCTTGGAGAAAACCACTTTATAAACTTGGTGCTTTCGAGGCGCTTTTCTGAATTTACTTTCATCGAGAACGCTCGAACCAAAAAGTTTGAGGGCCTTTATAACCAAAATGGACCTAAATGTATTTTTTTAATGAAAGTATTACCTTCGTTGAAATCTGAAACATTATTTCAAAATGGTACATTAAGTCAACTGTAAAATACAAAACTTAATTGAAAGGTTGAAACATAATATTTCCATCCAGCATTGAAAAATGAAGGAAAGAAAATGTCGACCTGTTTGTCATAAGTACTGGTACAATGTACAGAAACAATAGTTAAAACGTTTGATTACATTGATTTGAATGTCATGTCGTATTCCTTACCAACTTCAACACAGCAAAAAAATCCCGCACCCGGAGGTGGGATTCAGCTGGCCCCTAAACAGTAATGTATAGTAGTTCAGCGAAAATGGACGTCCCACAAAACTCCTTTTATGACTCGCTAAAGCACTAATACCTCACTATAAATACATATGTAACTGATAGTGTGATAAATCAGTTACTTTTTGGAATAGTTTGTTTTGCTAGATAAATGTAAAAAGAGCTAAGCTATAACATAAATGTACCATAATTGATTCAGCTTAAACATCACCAGCGTAGAAGACGAGAACTTCGGCACTGACATGATTTATAATATACTTTTTATACTTTTCTTGAATTTTCCGTTGATAAATTAAAAAATATATTAAGAAACTTAGGTTCCAAATCCCTGAGACAATGTGGACCTCAGATGGATTTGATAAATCTTTACGACATTATACAATTAGTCAAATTTTATGTAAAATAAAGGATCTTATTGTAGACGTATAATGTATTGATTGATTTAAAATGCTCTACTTAACGTCTAGTTGCAAATATATCATGCATATTCAGGACGAGAACAAAATGATTCTATTCAATTGGTAGGTTCGGCAAGCCAGGCCGACTTCGATAAAAGACTGGAAATTTGGACTATTAAACCCGCAAAGTCAAACTGACGCCCCACTGTAGAAAGGTTTAAAGTCGGGACGGGAGAAGTTCAAGGATGAACATATTTCTTTACCCCCAGTCAACTCTTGGAGTTAATATGATTCGACTAGCAAAAATAATTAGTTAAACAAGATATGTGTAAAAGCCTTTAATGGCAATGTCAATTATAAAGCAAACAACTTTTTTTGTCATTTTATTTTATATGTAAGCCATGCTTATCTTGTGTGTGAAGGTTATAACCCTAATACAGTTGTTATTCATTAATTTATTTACTATTTACAAAAAAGCAACATTAATATACTTTTTCTCACTTTTAGATACTAAATGTTTCATTATTATTCATCTACGTATTCGAATTGTATAAATTACCTTCGCGCATTACTGTGTGTTCTACACTGTAGGTTACGTTGCTGTATTAAGTCTGTTTAGAAGTTTAAAAACGACTGATATTTCAGTAAAACTAGGCCAGGTCGTTTGGAATCTGATGGATTGTTAATCATACCACATCCTCTTATTTGTTATACTGATTCAATAATGCGTTTTTATTTAATTTTGTGGTCCACGTACGTTTGTTTTTATTACGTTATTAATAAGTTCTTTTCCTGATTTTGATTTTTATGATTCTAATAATCGACGTAATAATTTAATTAATTCACAATTTTTTTGTCGAATTATATCTTGTCCATCGCTGAAGGCCTCTAGTCCTTGGTGAATGTCCTTTCAAACTTATCTATGCAATGATGATATGACGTGTATCTATTGCTAATGTTTTTTTTGCATACATTGTACCTCTATAAGAAAATTCTTTGCATTCATTAGAACCAAACTGTATGTCCGTAACACTAAAATGTCTATAGCTTAATAGGTGCCAAATCATTAGTCTAATAATGTGTCGTTCAAAACAAATGACAAAAGGATAATGTAAAGAGATACAGGAAGTAGTTACATATTCTTCCTTGAAAAACTATCAGAGTGAATTGCTACCACGATCACAAAAAGAGTTCAATCTTATTACGTTATGATCTACTAGAAACCATCTCTTTATTAGACTATATTAAACTTCTGTCTCAGGATATTACATCTTACATTCGGAGATTTATTGCACATTAAATTGGGTACTACGAAATACGATAAACTATCATACACAAAAAAGATTTATGACCTAAAGACAATTACTAAGCGTCTTTTTTATCGACAAAATTTCGCTACTCGGATGAGTTTGCGACACTTCGGAGGAATAAAATCCAGCATGGAGTCTACTTGTTTATCGCATTTTTAAAAGTCTTTATCAATTTCAATCATAGTAAATCAGTTTTATTATTGACAAGCCATATTGTATCAGAGATTTGTAGCCGATTCTATATATTAATATATTTAAAAAGTTGTTATTTTCTGTACAATAATCGATATATAGCTCAAACAAAAATGTATCCTGGGTTGCTGTACAGCTTAGTTCAGATAAGATTGCATTAGCAAAGTTTTTTTACGTTTTCGGCAAGCTGAATTTATATGGCGAAACCTAAAATATAGGCTTTAAGTATGTGTATAATATAATTACAATATATAACTTTATATCAAAGAGGAAGAATCATGGTGCCTTTTTGTGGGGAAAATATCGACTTTATGAATGATTTTTATTTGAATACTATATTCTTCCTTCCTAGGTTTATTTCGAAATGTAATAATTCAAAGTGGATCACCTTTGGCTCATTGGGCAGTAAGACAAAGACCTTCATTACCAGATGTTTACTATAATATCTTCACCAGTGCTTTTGACTGTCTCTCTAACAATACATACACAGTCAAACAATGTCTACAATCAGTGACTGCGGACGAGATCTTCCGAAAGACATCCGGAGGACATGCCGTAAGTGATTCTTTTATATTTTACTTGGACAGAGTTTTTTTTTCATGCAGACAAAATTAAAAAAAAAACCCTGAAACAAACAATTAAAGCAATAAATAAGGCAGCCAAACCCCACCTTACCTCCCGGTCTACTTACTATTGAGAAGTTATAAAGTGATTTATCAGTTTCGTCATGGGAATGGGTGTACTTACATTTTTAGAAATTAAACAGAAATTTATTTTTCAAATCTTGAGCAAAAAACAAATTAAAAAAAAAAAGTTCAGCATAGATAAAAATAATGAACACATTTCTTCAAAACTTGTAGGATAGTTCAGTTATTATATATGATTTTGTAAATTTGATTTCCCATTATAGAATTATAGAATTTTAGCAATGGTTTCCAATAAATGTTTAATGGTTATTATTAATATTCATTAACAGACGAATTATATGTACGGTCTTATATGTCCCTTTAGGTTTTTTTGTTGCTGTGAGGGAATTTTTAATTATCTTTATTTATATTTCTTTTTTGTCATTTAGCAAATTAAATGTTGATGGCATATTTGCAAATTTTATTTACAACTTGGATGGGCCTGTGTGTTTCTTTTACATGTGGCGTTAAAGTACGTCATTCTTTATAAATGAACAAAAATATATATACAGTAATGAAAGATAATTTTGACCAAATGCAATAGACAAATAAATTTGCCATATGTAAACAATTATGAAAAAGAAGACATAGAACAAATGAGATAATTTAATGATGTGTGTTTTATTGCCATAGACGTATTCATTCCCGATCTGACATTTAACCGAATATGTATTTCCTTAACTGTTTGCTCACGATAAAACAAATATGATTCCGTTTCTGAAATTTTTACGGAGGAGTTTGTCCTTTAAACAGAAATATAAAACTAAAATTTAATTCACTGAATTAGTGTTATCTTAGTATAACTTCAGCTTCTTTTCTATACTGAAAAAACCCACTATGGATCCAATTGAGGATAGTAATTGTATGATCATGATATAAATACAGAGACATTTTAATCAGTTATATATGTCATACAATAACAATTGTACAGTACAAAAAATATTTATTACCAATGCACTATTTATTTTGATGGGAATACAATGAAAGATACATGATTAAAAAACTCTAAGTAATGAAAAAATACAATATACCAGAGGTAACCATGAGTTCAGAAAAGGGGACAGAACACCAGGAACCAAATAAAAAGGACAAACAAAAATATAAACGGAAAATAATTAGCATGGAAATGTTAGCAGTAATCTTTTACTAGTGGCACCCATTATATTGATCAGGAAATATAAAAATCACAGAAGCATTTGACATTACAGGAGCATTTTTCGTTATACACCATATTGTACTTAGGTGAGGTTTAGGAATTTGTGTCAGATGTTCGGACTCCTTGGTTTTTTCCTACAATACAGGGTAAAATATTTTGGCCCATAACACCCATCTTTCTTTTCATATAAGACTTCAATAGCTCACAAAAGGTCATTTACCAAAATTTTTTTTACATAAAAATAGAACATAGGGGTAACATGGAAGTTTTGTCTATTATTTTAAAAACCATTATAAATAGAGAAAATCTGACAGAGCAAATATTTCAGAATATTGAGCTCCACCAATTGTCCGTTGACATCAAAACTGTCAGACGACTTCTTATAGGAGTTATTGCCCTTTTTTAAATGACAAATTTTACAATTTTTTTTCATTTTTGTCTATTATCTTAAAAACTATAATAGATAGAGAGAAACTTTAAATTGCAAAAATGATCAGCAAGACAAGTTCTACAAATAAGTCTTATATACGAAATCGTCAGTCGACTTCTTATTAGAGTTATCGGCCTTTGATGACAATTTTTACCAATTTATTGCGTTTTTGCCTTATATCTTAAAAATTATAATAGATAGAAAGAAACTTAAAAAAGCAAAATGATCAGCAAGACAAGATCTACAATTAAGACAATATGGTGGAAATCGTCCGACGACTCCTTTTTGGAGGTGTTGCCCTTAATTGACGATTTTTACCATTTTTCCTTTTTTGCGTTTTGCCTTATATGATAAAAATTATAATAGATAGATAGAAACTTAAATAAGCAAAAATGCAAGACAAGATCTATTTACAAGTCAAATTTGCCGATATAGTTGGTAGACTGTCACTCTTTATAGGAGTGATTGCCGTTAAATGAGTTTTTTTTTACTTTTTTGTGTTTTGAGCAAAAACTAAAGAAGATAGAGAGAAACTAAACACACTAAATGATCAGCAATACAAGATCAACAAAACAGAGATTTTTGTCATGAATTCTGTTCTCGTCTACAATGTTGGAGAGTGTCCTTTGTTGAATATGCATATGCATATAAACCAAGGTGAGCGACACAGGCTCTTTAGAGCCTCTAGTTTCATTTATTATGGCATCACCAAATCGATTTATTACATGTCTTTCTTAAATTGAGCAGCATGTCGGATGCTACAAGAGGAAAAGGAGCTACTTACCCATTCGTAGAAGACATTACACCACCCAAGCGTTTGGGCATTTTTAAGTCTTTATTTGTCTACCCTTGTTTTTACTTTGGCATTGGTATTGTCCGTTTTTCTACGTCTTATCATTTTGAGCGATACTTAGGAAAAGGAAAAATAGTTTTATCAGCCTTATACGATTGTAGAGAGATGATAATCTAATAGTGCAATTTAATCTAATTTTGATTAATACATAAGCTTATTTAATTTCAGTCGAGTCCTCGGATATCACCTCAGTTTACACCAGTAGTAGATGGGTATTTTCTACCAAAACATCCTCGTGAGCTGCTTATAGAAGGAGATTTCTATGTAGACAATGTTATGACGGGAGCTACAAAGGATGAAGGACTTGTGGCAGGTATAGATTCAGTATGACATGATGTAAATTATTTTGACAATGATAGTTAAACTCGTTAAGAAACAAATTAAAAGTTCTGTAAAACAGCACCAAAACTAACTTTGATGTCAAGTACATACAAGATCTGATATAAAATTACAAAATAAAAGAATATTATATTTGTGAATGGGGTCTGTACAACATATTAAAAGTCATTTTAAAAAAAAAAGAGTTGAAATTTATTTTTTATTTAAGCCAACCATTTGAATTATACACTTGCTGCTGATCTACATGGTCTTGACCAACTGTTGACGTTAATACACTGTATCAGAGGAGATTTACCAAGATTACCAGGAATAGTAGGTAAAAACATAAAAATGTTGTTCATATAATACAAATATATGTATTAAATTGTCGAAACAACACATTTAGAGTATCCCTTTAATTAATGTTAATAACCCAGAGAGACGATTTAAGAGCAATGAATTTATAACGGAACAGGACAAACAAATTAGAAATAAAAAAAAAAAAGAAGAAAACATTGAAACTTAAGGTTTGGACAAATTTGAATTCAAATAACAGTTAGAAAATTTTTCATACACCCACCAATGAAAAAAAACTATTTTGGAAAATGAATGACAATTAGCTTACTTTGACTATATACCTATAGTTGCTTACACCATTTGGTATTTGGTGGATAGCTGCCTCATTGGCAATCATACAACATCTCCTTATGTCTGGTTGACAACATTGTTGAAATACCCTCTGTAAATCTATTTCATCTGAAGATATAACAGGTCTTCCTTATAAACTACTTATCTTTTTCATTTTATTTCCTAATTCTTGGAGTGCTGGCTAAATTGTAATCCGTTCGTTCGTCCAACTAATAATTTCGTCACACATGAAAACTAATGACAAATAGACTTCATATTTGGTCAGAAGTTAGACAATGACGAGTTGTAACATGGGAGCTTTTTAAATGATTTGTCAGATACCTATGTTAGCCGATACTTTAAATATATAGTATTGTGGAGGAACTTTTTTTCGTCACAATTTTATCCAATACTACTGCACACTTCATATTTGAAGATTAACAGTGTGAAAATAATCTGTCAGACAAGTACTTCCTGTTATCCGATTATTTTGAATTATGAGTGGAGTATACGTAGCACGCCAACACATACATTCCTGTTTCCTTTTTATTAGCCCTTTTCTTTCTCTAGCTTTTGCTGGCTTTGCGTTGGTTTTCATGGTCTTTCATGCGAATCATGCTTTGGCGAACAAAATGAAAACTGATGTATGGACATTGATATTATTTTTGGGGACATTATTCTTATCGATCGCTGTCAAAAAATTTTTTTTTTAGATTAAAAAGAATGTTCCTTTCCAAAACAATTGATATAATTCCTCAATTTTGTCTGAATATTTTTTATGTATCATAATCCTTGTTTTTACTATCACTATAAAAATTCTAGTACCGACTTATACCAAAAGAGACAAATTCAGGTTAATGGTATAATAGACGGTAAGTTTAATAATTTCTGACTACTCAAAATTGATAACAAAATTATTGACATAGTGTTCTAGAAGTATGACATTTAAAAGAGAGGCAAAAGATACCAAAGGGACATTCAAAACTCATAAATGGAAAATAAACTAACAACGCCATGGAAAAAAAGAAAAAGACCAAAACACAAACAACAGTCAGTATACAAAACACAAAATAGAAAACAAGACTGAGCAACACGATCACCACCAAAAACTGAGTGTGAGCTCAGGTGCTCCCGAAGAGCAAGCAGAATCAGCTCCACATGTGGTACCCGCCGTGTTGCTCATGTAAGTACACACCCAGTGATAAGTCTAATAAGGTTAATAGCTTTCTAGTATCATAAATGGTTAATAGCTTTCTAGTATCATAAATGGTTAATAGCTTTCTAGTATCATAAATGGTTAATAGCTTTCTAGTATCATAAATGGTTCAGTAATAGCTTTCTAGTATCATAAATGGTTAATAGCTTTCTAGATATTCATTACAGATACAGTGTTGGAAGTTTATGCCAGCTGGCCTTTTGACACTTCAGACGAAAATGTAAGACAGATCTTTTCTGAGGTAATACTCGAACGCTTTCATAGGTATTTTTCAAATACATTGCGCCGGTAAAACATTGCATTTAAAAATGAATATTTATGTCCCATATATCATTGAATGTTATAGCTGAAACGGTTATTTTACTGTATGAAATATTTCCGTAATTCTGGATGATTAAGAATACAGAGGTAACAACGAATGTCGAATGTTTAGTGAAAACACTATTTTTTTCTTTTCTTTATAATGTTGTATGATTCTCAAAAATGTGTAAATATTCATCACAGACATACAGCACAACTGTCTTAAAAATTAAAACAACCATACAAATAAATCTATCAAAGACGCCAACAAAATAGTCTTTTGTAGTTTATAGTACATACAGTATTTAGTGTACACTTTCTCGATGAAGTACACATTAAGTAAAATATACTTAAAATAAATACAAGGGTAAACAAAATAAAAACCTCTTTCGTCCAAATCGCAAATCTGGACCGACCTGCATCAGGAACATCAGTTCGATCACTAGAAAATATTAGAATAATAAAGCATATTTTGTAAATGGCGGTATTGTTATATTTACGAAATTTATTTAGATTATAGGAGACCATTTCATCACAGCGCCTACCCATGATTTAGCCGAGGCTCTCGTTAAACGTAATGCCACTGTATACTTGTATAACTTTGAATACAGATCAGAGTTCCAAAGAAAAGATGAAGGTATACTTATTACTAACTAACTTAACCAATACTAAGTCAAACCATCTCCTGTGCATATAGAAAGTAGTATTATCAGATTTACCTCAGACGGCTGAAACAGAAAGTAGACTATGTAAATTGTTTGTTTAATGAGACATCTGACAGTTTCTTAATAGTTCTTTTTAATTTTTTTTGTCAAACACATTTACAAATGTTGCGGATTCTTTTCAATACTTAGATCGATATGCACATGTCATTATTGTATTTATAAAAGAGGACGTAGAAGTAAGTAAGAACAGGTCACCGTACGGCCTCATTTAAACCTTCCGCTATTAAGAAGATGTACTTTCAATGAAAAATTTAATAACAATAAAGTTTGGTGACTATCTTGATCCCATTTATCCCGTTGAACTTGTAATAGATAATACCATATATTAAATTAATTCTGTAAAATTTGGTGTATATAACTGCGCTTTGATAAAGTATCGAAGGGCTTGTCATGCTTCTCTTGACAAAGTGTTGCTGTTTACAAGGAACCAATGGTTCTTTATTATAAATTTGAAGTCGTCTCTTTGAAAGTTTATCGGAATCATCATTAATTGGTCGACCAGTTTGAAATTTCTGTGGCACAGAACACTTAAGATGGATTTCACTTGTCAAAGCGAAACCCGTCTTCTTTTTCTCTATTGTGATGCCACTGAGGCCACACCAATTTGATTTGTAGTTCTTCGGACAAAACTCGTAAAAAATATATGGCGAGCGAGCGAATTTTTTTGATTTTCTTTTTTTCTTGAAAATGAGTTTTTTTGAGGCGAGTGCTCTACAAATGAAGCGAGCGGTATATTTTTTTTAAATTGTGCGATTTAGAATTTATGTGCATATCATAACTGGGTTACTTCTGAATCATAGAAAAACGAGGAGAAACATGCTCTAATGACGCACCTTCAGAACAATTCGTGCTGGGTCATTCTTTGAAAGGTCACGTATTACATTAGATAAATGGTTGTACACAATCTACATGTGGAGCCAAGGAACAAAAGTGACAGTAGCAGCGAAGAGTGTCGATATATCTGAAAAGTCTACCATTCAAATGTTTCATTATCTCGGAGAAGTCTGTTCAACAAAATTAATTCAGACACCAGCACAACTAGGTGGACCAGGAGTGGTACAAATAGATGAAAGTTTATTCAACCACAAGGCTAAACACAACCGTGGAAGGAAAGCTAAAAAAGAAGGTGAAACTCTGGGTATTTGGACTTGCTGATATAGCCTGCAATAAATTGCATGGAGCTGGTGCCAAAGAGGAATAAAGAGACACTTTTGCCAATAATTCAACGTATATTGAAACCAGGTTCAATTATTTATTCTGACCAGTGGAGAGCCTACAACAAAATTCAAGATGAAGTCAACCTAGAGCATGCTGTAGTTAACCACTCACTGAACTTTGTTGATCCAGAAACTGGTGTCCATACATGGACCATAGTCTTACTGGGCCAAAGCCAAGTACAAACTGAAAGAAATGAAAGGTGCGTCTTCAGATGCTTTGCCATCATACTTAGATGAGAGAATGTGGAGAGACAGGTGGGCTAGAACTGGAGAAGATGCTTTCATGAACATCATTCTACACATTGACGAGCAATATAAGGTTTAAAATAGACAGTATTGAACTTTGTTGATGATTTGTTATTTTCATTCATTATTAGTGCTTGTTAACTGAAAAAATTAGCAATATGTGAAATAATTTGATTTTAATTCTCATATTCTACTATGTAGTGCTCACTTTATTGATTTATATTCATTGTACGTTCCATGAATAAACATGGAAATGTTGAACAGATACTATTTTGTCTTCTTATCAATCCGACAGACAATAAATAACAAGATATTCCTTATACTAGTCCTTCAGTATTTCTATAAAAACTTTGCTGATACACAATAAATATCTATGAACAAAATCACAATTTGTCTCTCAAAAACACAATTATCAATATATAAGATATCAAATAATCAAATAACACCATTGGTTCTAACAATACTGGTATACACTGATATTCCAGTATTGTAGTATTTTTGAAAAAAACCCACTGACTGAGATAATAGCATGAAAGTAAACTACTAGTACTCAAAACATTGTTTTATCTCTGCTTGACGTTGATGTGATGGTCACAACATAGACACCGCGCAAAGTTTTAGAAATTACAATGAAAACTTTACTTATAAACTATGACAAACCAGTAGTAATGAACATACCTAGATGCCCTAAAGAGCTTGTGTCACTCACCTAGGACTATGTGCATCTCCAACAATGGACCCTCTACAAAATTCTAGACTAGAACAGAATTCATAACAAAATCTCTTTTTTGTTGCTCTAGATTTGCTGATCAATTATTCTGTTTACAGTTTATATCCTCTTTAGTTTCTGCCCAAAACACAGAAAAGGGGATAACATCGTCATTTTAGGGCAGTCCATCTTATCAAGAGTTTACTAACGATTTCGACAAAATTTGACTTATAAGTAGATCTTGTCTTTTAAAGTGTCTATCTATCTTTTATAGTTTTCAAGATGATAGGTAAAAAGAGCAAGACCTCTAATAAAATGTCGACTGACGATTTCGGCAGTTTTAAATATTTGTAAATCTTATCATGCTGATCATTTTTTCTATTTAAAGTTTCTCTCTATCTATCATAGTTTTTAATAGGCAAAATTGAAAAAAAAGTTGTTAAATTCACCTTTGGTCCAGGTGAGCTTAAAGGAGTTGTGGTATCATTGCAAACATTCCGAAAAATGCAAAATGAGTACAATATAGGAGTTTTTATTTAGTTTGTTACTCTTATAATAACCTTTATTACTTATAAGTAATAAGATTGATTACAATATTATTTCAAGATATACAATTCATCCAAACATACAGAACTCTTTCGCGTGTGTAGGCATATGCATTCGTGATGATATGAATGGGGTTATTCGTGTATAAATGTGTTGTTTGCCATGACACTTGCTTTTTCTTTAAGGTGTTGTTCATGGATCAGAAATATTTTATTTGTGTGGATTCCCAATGAGTGGACATCCAACATTTCTATATGGCGAGAAAGACAGGAAAACTGCGAAAATGCTAATGCACCTGTGGGCAAACTTTGTCAAAAATGGGTATGTACTGATTATTATAAATTGTTCATTCCTTATAAGTTATGTTTAGCATATAAGTAACCAACACCACAGAAAGTCTGATGCTCATATCTAGACTAACAATGAAAATAATATGAATATAAATATATAAGCTTTATTTCGAGTCGGCATGGCATACAAAACAAGGACATAGCATGAGCTCTGTTGAGCTTTTAACTGATAAGCCAAGCATAACAATACAATACAAACAATCTTGCAATAAGTTACATACAGACACAAAATGAAGCACTTTAATTAAGCATGTTAGTAGCAAACAGATTTATAAGCATGATAAGCCAGGTAGTCTAGCTAAAAGCAAATAAACAATACCGTAAACTTATGTTTGGCCTGCAATATTCTTATAACTAACTTTGAAATAAAAATGTGATGGCAACTACTATTTTATGTTTAAAAAATCTAAGTATTTCGTAAATAAAACAAAGCACTCTCTCGAAGAAAAGAATAACATCAGTTTCAAGTACTGTAAATCTTTTTCATAACATTAAAAAGAAGTGTTTTAACAAAAATTGATTATTTTGCGTTCAAGTAAAAAAGAGGCAAAAGAAAACAAAGGGATATTCGACCTCGAAAACAAACAAGACAACGCCATGGCAAAAAAAACTTAAAACGACCAAAAGACAAACAACCGTATACAAAACACTACACAGAAAACTATACATTAAGCAACACCGAAAAAAGAGAAGTGATCTCACGCGCTCCGGAATGGTAAGCTGATCCTGCTCAACATATGACACCCATCGTGTTACTCCTATAAAATATGTTGATGAGTTAAATTAAGTGTTTAGGCATCACGCTATAGAGTACCGGTAATTGACTTTTGTCTAATCCTAAGACATCATCAAATTTATAAACCCCAGTCATGTAAATAGCGTTTTCTCATTTGATTTATCTTTCTTGTATTGCTAGTGGTTATCTTTTTCAGACTTCCAAGTCTCGTTCCACACAAGGAGTTTCACATGGCACCTTATTCACTCCATAGAAAACAGTACAGCAATATTTTCGATGGAGAAATGGTGCCGAAAGTCGAAGTTAACGCTAATTATAAAGATAAAAAGATACATTTTTGGAATAAAAAACTCCCTCAGTTATTATCAGATACACAAAGACAAACCACCGACCACAGTCGAACTGTTACTAAAAGTTACTTTGTACAGGAAACAAACTCGTGGGTGTTAATATCAATATGTATAGTTCTTGCAGCTTTATCTATTTCATTCCTTGTCGGATATTGCAGAACAAGAAGACAATTGATTAAAGTATTAAAACAAAATGGCGTCCCACTAGCTAACAGAATGATATAGACATTATAAGAGAAAGGCTGTGTCTTATGATAATAATTATAATGATTGATCAAGAATTTGTCTCAAATTTTTACAACTTTAACCATGTATACATTTTGTTTTTAATCTCAGATTTGTTTAAATATTTGATATATGTAATTCCATAACTTATCACATGAGATCGTTCTATCGTGTACAGAAGTTATATTGCTAAATTATCATCATGTTCTTGTATTTGTTGTTAGGAGTATGTGGTTTTATAGATTAGATAATTTTATACATTATAATCCGTTAAACTTCATTAAAATTGAAACGTATCACAAGAAAAAACACATTTTTTTAAAAACATTGTACTAATTGTATATTTTTGTATAGAAGCATGCTGTTATATATTTGTAATCACACATCATAAGCAAACCAAAACACATGTAGTTATAATCAAGGACGGTTTGAGAGTACTGTTTAAGTAGTCGTTTTGGTCTTACCATGAGAGGTGAGCTCTTTAGTACATTGTTAAAACTATCGTCAAAAAGAAGGACATCATATTAAGGTAGCTAGGGTGTCTAAATGTTCGACGATAGATTTTTGAGAAACTTCTGTAAACGATTTCTGGGTCAATGTACTTTCCAATCTTATTGATGGTTTAATGCAAATTTTGAAATTAAAATGGCAATATTTAAACATGTAAATTATGCAAATAATTCAAAATCAATGAATCATGGCTTAAGGTGCAGGGCCAAATAACCTCCATGGAAATGTGAAATGCCAATGCTTACAAAACTGCATACTAAATACCATTGACTTATCATAAGTGGTTCCCTTTGACCTAACCTAAACAAAAACTTTTAACTTGAAAACTTTGTTAAAGTTTCAAAGTCAATGAACCATATTGAGGGGGTGGGGCCATATAATCTTCATGGAAATGAGACTAGCAAATGCCAATACAACTGCACACCCAATATCACTGACTTAACTTTCGTTTATCTTAAACTGATTTTAGTAATGACAAACATTAACATATAAATAATGCAAAACATCCAAAGTCAATGAACCATAATAATCCCCATGGAAATGAGATGTGCCAATGCTTATACAACTGCATACTTAATATCATTGATATACCACTAATGGTTTCTCTTAAACTGACCTAATCACAAACTAATACATGTTAACTAAGCAAAAGTTTCAAAGTCAATAGGCCATGCCATAGGAGGCGGGGCCAAATGATATCCATGGAAATGAGATTTGCCAATGCTTATACAACTGCATACCAAATAAGATTGACCTATCACTAGTGCTTCCCAATAAACTTGACTCAATCACAAAGTAAAACATTGTTATCCGCCGCCGCCGTCGGAAACAGCACGCCTTAATCTCACTTTTTCGACTTCGTCATCGTGAGACAATAACTAGGGGTCACGGACCTTGTTTTTTCGTTAAAATACGTTGAAATTCACGAAACCACAGTTTTTTATACAACTATCATACAAGTGAGAGGTTTAGCTGGCTATAAATCCAGGTTTAATCCACCATATTCTACATAAGGGAATGCCTGTACCAAGTCAGGAGTATGACGGTTGTTTTCCATTCGTTAGATGTATTTGAGCTTTTGATTTTGCCATTTTATGAAGGACTTTTCGTTTTAGAATTTCTCTTGGAGTTCGGTATTTTTGTTATTTTACTTTTTATATGGGTTATATAAGGGTAAACTTAATTTTTCCTTATTGACGAAACATTAAACGATAGAATTGGTTAAAATACAACGAGAGCATTGCTTTTCATAAATACTTCCGAAATATCAAATAAAAGGGGCTGATTTTCTTGAAAAATCAGAAAACACAAATTGAACTATCAAATTCAGTATAATTATCTCCCCATGATTTTTAAAGGATATTTTCTGAAAAATTTGAAATACACTTATCGACAATTAATTTTTTTTTTATAGTTTAAGCTTTAAATTTCAAGTTTTAGATGTTTCTGTTGTATATTGAATGATTCTTGGTAAATATTTTAAAACCTAAAATGAATTTTTGCAACTTGACCAGAAGAGATGCTCAGGAAAAGACACCTGATCTACCTTAAAACGCTATCTCTTTTATACATTGTTGACATCTTAGTATGTTATAGCATATTTGTTTCTTGTATTTCCAATACACGTCTTTTCCAAAGAAATGTTTAATTATGGAAAGAAAGAAATATTTTTAACTTAAAAGAATGATATATATATATATATATATATATATATATATAATATTTATAGTTGAATTAATAGGTTTAAATTGGCTACAGCTTTGCATTTAGATATTTTTATGCGAAAAGCACCATTGTTGGTTAGGCAATTTATAAATTCATGGATGAATACAATATTTATATACAAAATTCAAATAATCATTATTGATCTCCATAATTGTTTTTATTGGTGACTATACGGAGAAAGTATTAAAATGAAGAAGGATTAGTAATAATTATAAGTAGTATCTATTGATATTCTTGTTGGTAACATGTAGATTAGTATTACATCAACTAAATGATTTAAGTCATTGTTTCAATTATCATGAACATGTAAATAAAATATAATATTCAACTATAAATGCATATCATTATGTACATTAATCCATAAGTTCATATTTAAAGTTAATGTTATTGTATTTTTTGTTTTTTTGTAAACTGTTTGGATTTTATACTGTAAAAAATAAACAAAAACACTTTTTAATATAATTTTCAACTTGTTTGACTTGTAATAACATTAACGGTACGTTTTACAGCACCATATGCGTATTTCGACAATAAATGTCTCTTCAGTGATGCTCGAGGTCAAAATATTTGAAATTCCAAAACTTATTCAAACATTGAAGAGCTGATAAAACCAAAAAGGACAAAAGTATTTTTGGAAATTATTTAAAATTAAGGAATGTATCTCCCTCATGCAAAGCTCTGATTCATTGCCCAGCTTTGGCTATACTTTTTGGTCCTTTTTAGTTTATAGCTCTTCATATTTTAAATAAGCTTTGGATTTTCAAATATTTTGGCCTCGAGCATCACTGAAGAGACATTGATTGTCGAAATGCGCATCTGGTGCAAACAAATTTGTACCGGTTATGTTATTGTATAATCAAAGCCAGACATGTAATCATAGGTTTGCTTGATGGAGATATGGTCCTCAATATCAAATAATTTCAAAAATTTTGTAACAGCACATTTCAAAAACATATTTATATTTTCATGCCGGTACCGAAGTACTGGCTATTGGGCTGCTGATACCCTCGGAAACTAACAGTCCACCAGCAGAGGTATCAACCCAGTGACATTAATAACATGAAAAGTCAAAAAGTAAGCAAAACCCGGACAAGGAATCAGAGCAATGCACGAGAATAGTCCTCCGCCCGAATAAATGGTCCACAGATTTGTGTCATTGAAATAATCCGTGGTTAAATGAGTTATAATCTTTGTCTAAATTAAAAGAAGATCCGATAAATAATGGAGACTCCAGCATGGTGACAAGAAATCATGAATTTTCCCCTCGCCAAAAAAAAAGTCTCCCTTTTAAGATTTTCTGTTTTTCGAATTTATCTTAGGTTTCGATTAGGGGAAAACTTCAAACAGATTTGAAAAGATGTGATGAAATATGAAGATACATGCACTGCATGAAGAAATAATATGGGTTATTATAGCATGTGCTCTTATGACAAAATAGCCACCCATTGGTTTTGCTGAGTAAATAATTATTAAGAGATCCAGACAAAAAATGAAAGTACTAGCTTAGCTGAAAAGAAATGAAACAGGTCTCACCGTTACTCGTTTGAGTACATAAGAACCTCATCAGTAGTTGAATTAGTGCTATGGTTTAACTTCGATTCTTTATAAAAAAAAACACTAATAATCCAATCGAAGATAATAATTGCATTTCATGATATATTTAGAGAGACAGTTGAATCAGTTATAATTGCCAACAATAACCATTCCATGATATAAATAATATTTATTTTCAATGCACTAATTTTTTTACAAGGGAATACAACAAAAGAGACACTATTAAAACCCTTGGTATTCCAAAGAGAATATGTGCCATTTAAGGAAAGGAAACAGAACATCAAGAAACAAAGAACAACAAAAGTCCAAAATGTAAACGGCGAATAATTTTTACAATAAAGTTTTACAAAAATACCGAACTTCAAAGCAAATTCAATAAGGGTTCATAACAACTGACAAAATCAAACGCTATTAATCAACAGAACAAGTGAAAAACAACTGCCATATTCATGACTTAGAACAAGAAAACGGTGTGTTAAACCTGGTTTAATAGCTAGCTAAACATCCCACTTGTATGATAGTTGTTTATAGTTCCGTTATACATGTATTGACAAATTTGGGTAAGCAGCCCAAACAGACATTATAGGTTAGTGTGACCATTATTGTGATCCAGCAGCCAAAACTGTAAATATACATAACAAACGTCACAGACATACAGCACAACTGACTAAAAAATTCAAACAAACATACAAATTAATCTAACAAAAATACACTAGTGGCACCCAATATATTGATCAAGAACGGTAAAAAATACATTTGGCTTCTATACCTTCAGAAGTATTTCTCCTTCTACACGTAAAGACAGATTGTCGGAATTTGGACAGGAAGGGACAAATCTTTTAAAAAATGATGATTTTAAAAAACTTTATCTCAAGCTAAATTCATCAAGATGTTTTAATTTCAGAGTAACGTTTCACGTATGATTGACTAATTTTCAACAGACATTCGGATTCTTCTGTCCAACGTCTTCAACGTGTGGCCTTTAACATCGAGTTCCGCTATATTGATGCGAATAATTCAATGTTTGATGAATGAAATAGAATTTGAAATAGAGGATATCATAAATGCAGATGTCTGCTTCATATCTTGACCTACATTTAGAAATTGAGGACGAGAGTTGGTTATGAACTTACAATTATCCAGATCACCATACATGTTATTATATCTAATATTGTTTAGTTATTGTGTTTGATGTTTGTTGTTTGTTGTTTTGTTTGTGTTTATAACTACATTATATTTTCATAGTTATTTGTATTAGTATTACAAAAGAATACCATCCTTGTGAGCTGTTATGAATGCTGTAATTAAAACACACCTTTGAGAGAGAGGCGAAATATACAATAGGGACATTCAAACTCATCAGTCAAAAATTAACTGACAACACCATAGCAGAAAGAAAAAAGAAAAAGACAAACAACAGTATACAAAACACAACATAGAAAACTAAAGAGGTTGCCAAAAATCCAACTTTCTGTGTTTTTTATTTATTTGAATTGTTTTACTTCTTCTTTTTTAAAAATATTGGTAATTCTTTATTGAAAGATACATTAAAAGCTATCTGGATATATTATGATATAGAAATCTACATATTTCAGAGTTGAAATAACTGACAATTCAAATACTAACCAACTCAAATTTGTATACACTACTAATGTTCAACGATGACGGGATAAGGTATAATTTGTATCATACTATATAACAAAGGTTAAAATTATCAATAAAGTATTATACAATGTAAAAAATTCAAACAGAAGAAATGTCGGTTTTCCTAATGTTTATTTTTCGATAGCGCCTGTATATTGAGTTCATATATCCCATCTGATATTATATCCCAGGGTTCCATTTCCGAATTTTTTAATTGAATTTCTGCGTGCAAATCAATGAGGTCCTGCAAACGAAATGAGCAATGCCTTTTTGATCGTATATGTGAGGGTAAATACACTGCTTTACATCATATTTATTTTCGACAAAATCAATTTAATAATGAATAAGTATACAGAATCGAGTGCCAGTTATTTTTATAATCATGATTTGTATGATTGTTAAATTTTAAATGATTTGTAAACGTACGATATGATAGCCATAATATCAAAAAACTTCAAAAATCACAAAAGATAAACTTAGCTTGAGGGAGTAACTTTAAGTAAAAATTACACCAATTTTATTAGCTGGACACATGGTATTATTCAAATCATACAAGTATGTATGCCCTGGTACAGGGCGAATATCATACCAGTATCCAATCCCTCCTACATGGTGGAATTCATACCAGTATCCAATCACTGATACATGGCGGAATTCATACCAGTATCGAAGCCTAGCTACAAGGCAGCAACTATACCAGTATCGAAGCTCTGGCTTTGTGGCGGAAATCATGTCAAAATCGAAGCCTTGACTATAGGGTTGTTTTCCTATGAGTGTGGAAGCCGTGAATGCATGTCGGTATTCTATGATGGGACACTTGTTTAACAATGCAACTTTTTACATGTTCGCTAGAGGAACGCGTTTGTAACGTGTAACAGTTAGTTCAAGTATCAAAGGGTAACGCTGTACACATTATTCGTAAGATCAACGCGTTGATTCTTAACAGAGAATTTTATTTGCGTGCCTGTAGGGAATTAATTCGGACGTGTATCATACTTAAACCTATCACCCCTATTTCGGACTAATATAATTATCTGGCCCTGCGACACTGTATAAAAGAACACGCAGTGCAATATTTCTTATGTCTTGATATATAATGATAATCTTGAAAGAACATTGACAGGTTTGTATGACATTTGGGGACTGCATACACTACTTCTCCGACAAAGGCACTTAACATTCGTTTTAGATTATTCAGAAATTGCCTAGTGTGTGTCATACATTTGAAATTGGGAAGGTAGCCATGAGGAAGTTTTACTGCTTTGCACATAGTTTTAAATTCCTAGATCAAACGAGATCATTACAACTGTAAGGGAGGTCGTTTATACCATAAACAACTTGAAACGTGCAATAGTTGCAATGTGAATTCATATCAGTATAGGAACCCTACCTACATTGCAGCATTCATACCAGTACCGAAGTTCTGGTTACTTCGAGGAAAATACACATGTATTGAAGCTCTAGCTACAGGGCGGCAGTCATACCAGTATCGAATCCCTGGCTACAGGGGGCAAAAATACCAGTATCGAAGTTCTGGCAACATGGATGCACAAACTTACCGGTATTGAAGCTCTGGCTACAGGGCGGTAATCATACCAGTATCGAATCCTTGGCTACAAGGAGGCATTCATACCAGTATCGAAGCTCTGGCTACAAAGGAGAAATCATACCAGTGTCGAAGCTCTGACAACTTGGCATCAAACATATCAATATTTAAACCGTGGATATAGGGCGGCAATTATGATACAGTAAAACCTGTA